CGAGTGTGCCTGCTTCGCTGTCCCCTTCCGTTGGAGGGAGGTCAACACACTCCCAGCTGCTGATCTCTCCTCTGATCACTGGACCAGGAAGTTATGTGCATTACTTCACATTCACTTTTCATGGTTTTTTGCTTGCAAATTCGTCAATTGTGGAATCGACCTATTACACTGCAAACCCATTTTCTATACAATACACAGTATATCAAAAATCATGTGTCCTGAGGACATCCATTGCGGCTGATGATATAATTTTTGTCACTATCAACCTATCCAATAAAATGTTAGGAGGCCTTACACTTACTTACTTGTAATGGAGGTATTCTTACTGACCGCCAATGTAACGGAGGTAGTCTCACTGACCAGCAATGTAACAAAGGTATTTACACTGACCACCAATGTAGGGAAGGTATTATCACTGACCTGCAATGTAACAGAGGTATTCACACTGATCAGCAATGTGACGGAGGTATTCACACTGACCGCCAATGTAACGGACATATTCTCACTGACCGCCAATGTAACAGAGGTACTCACACTGACCAGCAATGTAATGAAGCCTAGGCTAAGCGGTCCCTGGGCCTGAAAGACAGCTCCAGCACTACAGCCGGAAAACATCTCTCCTACTGCCCGATTCTAACGCGGGAAGAACATACTCGAAGGCAGGACGGGACCGGATACCATATCGTCAAGACCCTGATATTTGCGCATATCCACCGTAACCCGGTGAGTACCCATTACTAAGGGGGCTGTCGGACTAAGGAGATAGGAACTAACAATCATCCGTCTTCTAAACCCCCCCTGTCCTGCTCTTACATTGCCTATTTTTTGAGATCTACTCTTCATATCGCCCATTGAACATTGTTGCCTCTGGCATCGCCTTCACTTATTTAAAGAAACAATTCAAGATTAATATAAATATAGATCACTGAATGCTATCTTTTTTTTGTTTCAGCTTTTTTGAAAAAACTGTCACAGATTATTCACTGTAATCTTTTTGAGACGTTTTTTCTGATACTGTGTTATATATTTCCAATGAAGTCGTAATGCCGTATTATATTCACTAACCAAAGCTGATTTTATCCATCTACTATCATCTATTATTACTTAATCTTAATCGAAGCTGATTTTATCTATTTATTATTATTCAATTTTACTATTTATTCTTTGTCATCTAAGTTCATCACGATTATTCACTTACGTTTGAATGTCATTTATATCTATTAGCCATAGGCTACACTTTATGTTGTTCACATAGTGATACAAACCATCTTTTTCGTTTACTTTTTATGACTGTTTCGAATACACATAATTTATACATTGATATCCACTGATCACTCAACCCAATCTGTGAATATTTACACATATTTTGTTGACTTTATCTCTAGCGCTGTGTTCCAAGTACTCTATCTATCTAAAGGCGGTTCACTTCCTTTATTTTCATAGCTGCTTTTTGATACAAGTACAATTTAGCCATATCCAGGAGCGCAGATTTATTTTTCCTAATGTAATGAAGGTATTCTCAGTGACCACCAATATAACTGAGGTAAATACCCCTCCACCACTATTTTTTAATTACTAAATATACAGTATGTACATACACATACTTAAACATACCTTTTTCCTGCAGTCTTCAGGCTGATCACATGTCCTTTTTCTCTCTTAGTGGCCATGGTGGGTGATACTTCCTTCATTACATGTAGTGCCATGCAGTCCAAGAATGCTGTGAGCCCTTGGGGGGGTGATTTGCATATCAGCCACAATATTTACATACGAATGAGTCACCGCTTACTGATATGTAAATACTGCCGCCCATTCATATGTAAATATCACTGTGGGTGACAGCTCCAGCCACAGTGTGGGCTCCCAGCAGGCTCCAGAGAGAGAGCACATACAACAGGGAGAACTGGGGACGGGGCTCAGACTATAGAAGCCAAAGCTCAGAGCCACGTCCATAGCGCTGCTTCTGTGTGTGTGAGGTGGTGTTTCCCCCCAGCGTTCTCAGGTGGCTGCTTGTGCTGCCTTATGGTAGCGCCATCTCTGTGTACATGGCATGCATGCAAATACTCTTTTGCCATAGTATTTCATGTTTCATTGACAACAACTAGAGATAACCCTTTACAAGTTAAGTGCCAGCTATAATTTTAAAGGAGCATTGGCTACTTGGCTTCTGGGATTTGTCCAGCTCTGATCTATCTGATCTCTTAAATCAGATAAAATATGAAATTTTGAAAAAAACAAAAGTATATTTCAATGTCATAAAATTCACTCACATGCATGAATGATGCCACAGTAAACCAATCCATGAATGTGGCACAGTTAAGTATACTCAGTGTAAGCAACCCATGAATTCTGTATTAAAGGTGCAGCTGCACCACATGCCACAGAAGAAATTCAAGTGCTCTGTCACTTGCATCATACAAGACACATTTATCAAGCAGTCTCATAGTCTGAAGAAAAATCAACCCATGCCACTACAAATTGAAAGTTAAGTATGAAATTGTCCTTAGAAAACGTTCCTTTCTAGTCTAAGGACAACCAACAGAGCAGATCCATAATTGCTACTGAAAGGATACCACTATGTTCTTTTCTGGGATGTCAGATCCACTCTACTTCAGCTGATCTTGAACCATTGCATTGAAGATGTGTGAAGCAAAATGAATGACTGATTTCTCAGAAACACTTATCCCTCATTTTAGTGATCTTCCATAACCTCAGTGATTTCCCAATGTATGATTAAGAGTGTGAGCAGATGACCTTCTAAAGCCCACTCAACTATCCTCTTTAATTACCACTTTGGTCTAGTAATTTCACTGTTCCCTTATAAAACCACCTATCGTCAGGACGATAATGATATTTCTACCCACTCTTTCTTCCACATTTCATGGCTGATAAACTGAATTAGAGGTTTGTCAGCTATTTTTCTCTGAACAAATGTAATTGCATTCCAGTCAATACTTCTAGTCCCATATGAAAGGTCACACCAGCCTGCATACATTATTGCGCAGTGCTTTAGTAATTAGTCAGAGCCATGTAGAACTGTTAATCTGCTTAGGTAAACTACGGTAAGAAGAAGGCAGGGATAAACTTGAAGCAAAGTTCATCTATAACAATGAATACGGTAAAACAGTTTCAGCACCACGGACAGCGTAGAATACCGAGGGCTCTTTCCCAGCATTGTTCTGGATAAAGTTTCTGCCCTTATATGAAACTAAAACAATCCAAAACCAGATACACCTGAAATGTAAATGAAATCACTTATGCAACACTTATACCGTACTAACTGCCATTGTTTTATCTAAGTACAGTGTTATGTTCATTAAGAGTTAACATAGCCCCACACCACGTGCAACATCAACTGTCAGTTGTACCCCACATTTGGTCTACTCATGACAGCTTACTGAAGAAAGTGCAGGCAGCAATGCTAAAGTGCAAAGTGAAGTAACCCAGAACAAGAGTACTCATCTACCTGGTTAATATGGATTGTTGCAATTTGAAGATCAATTTGCCCCTTACTAAATAAGCGTCATAGAAATGCAAGAATCTGAAGTTTATAATTTACCTGGCAGTATGTCAGCCAAAAACATTGTGACCAGTATGATAGAATCACTTCATCTACATTAAAGCTTCCAGCAGATGAAGAATTAACATTTTTCAGAATTAATAAACATATTTCTGGGTCTGCAATTACAGATAACACTCCGCAGGTATTTATCCTTAAAGACTAAGATGCAAAAGCTTGATTCAATAAACTTCAAACACAAGGGTAAGTGTCTTTAATTTAGCCATATGACTGTCATTTTTAAATCTCATTGGACTTCATTAAAAAAAGACTGTCACTTTGTTTTATATCCTTATCCTTGTATCTTTGTGAATTGAGCCTAATTTCGGTTTCAGCACTACACAGCAGACGGTACTGGGATGACTGCAGATGTGATCTTAGCATGGCCCTGCAAACAAACAGCCATCATTCCATAAACACCTCTCACTGCGGTCCAGAGACCTCCGCTGCAACATGTGGCATATATTCCTTCCATGAATGCTGAGCAGAATAGAGGAACAATTAAAAGGGGAGCGGATGTGGGACAGATTGCTTCCGTTTCCATATGGGCTCACTGGTCCACATTATAAAGTAACCTCCCTTTGACACCTAACTAAAACAACAGGGAAACATTCATCAGCTGGACTTGCCATTAGCAGGATGCACTTCATTACACGCACTGCTGTTTTATAGTATAGATACGAAGCTGCTTTTAATGCACAGGCTCACCAATCAGACATTCCATTCATTGTGCAGTGTAAGAAAGCTACATTGATGATAATGAGATCTCATGTACCGCTGCCACAGCAAGGACACTCATATTCTACCAGAGGTTGAAAAAAATGCACTCATTAAATAAAGAAAAAAAGAGAGAGCACTGCGCTACTGCAAACACAAGCTCCGATTAGAAACATTCACTTGTTATGCTAAAGCCATTATGTCAGTAGCAGCATTGTACCACGGTGCCTAGGTATTCAGCTGGAGTTTAGTAGAGACAATAAAAGCTGTCATTACTCTATTAATATTTCCTCGGTATCCTGTGCATTAGAGATCTAGTGCTGACCACATAAAACAAGCCTTGCACTGAATGTCAAGTCATTTGGCTGAGTGCTGGAAAGTACTAATTAATACCTTAATCCACAAAACAATGAGCTAAGGAGAACATATGCAAACCGCACAGGCATACTATCTGCATAAATCATCCAGATATACTTCCCATGAACACATCTTGATCGGTTCCCAACGTCCCATAGCATTCATTAAGAAAAGAAGTAAGAAGACATTCTTACCTAGAAGAATTCCATACCTAACAAGCCTTACATCAAACCTACAGCGAAACTGTGCTATAGGAGTTTGGAGCAGCTGCACGTTCAGCCAGATTAATAAATAGACACAGAGAGGGAGAGATGCTACGATGCTACACACTCACAAATATATAATACACATATGTGGATTACCTTACCTGTTAATAAATACGGGATTTTAATCGCATATATTCCACTGGCAGCAATTTAACCCAATGCACTGACATAGTTCAAATGGCTAATGTGATAGATCACATGCAGGTATCGGCTTTCCTGGACTCTCCAATGCATCCAAAGGTTATCCCTAATAACTCCATCCACAAACCAGGAGGCTGGGATCCCATACTCAGCACAGCAGCAGCATCAGCAACACCCCTGATCCCCACAACAGGCTGCAAACGAGGAGATCTTCATTATTAATCGCACGAGTGCTCTCACTCAATGCTAGTCTTGTTCCCTAGGACTCTGCCCCCACCTTGCACAGACAAGAGGATTAGGTTGCTGAAATCCGATCACATAAAAGGCATCAGCACACACACACACAGGCAATGGTTATCGCGTTGTTGCATCCCAAGCATGAAAAAAAAAAGAAAGAATCCAGAAAAGCCCCTTTTTATATAGCAAGGAGTGACTGCAATGTGAGGCTGCGTTCTCCTGGCTTGGATCCTTGTGCGTGCACACAGCTCATCTGTGGATGAAGAATGTAGTGGTGGCTGCCTGCGCACATCTAACGGCAGGTAAACACGCTTGTGTCCTTTCGTCAATCCAATCATTAACTCCACCCTCTGCCATCTGATCTTACTAAACGTGACAATTACTGGAGCGGCTTGGAAGAGAGGCACCGGCGTGTGGACAGAGGCTGGAGGAGACACATCTGAGCTGGACGTGCGCCTGCTGCTGCTGCTACCGCTACCAGAGGATCCTAGTTGCCATCTGATACAATGTACAGAGCACGCTATGTGTATGAATCAGCCAGGAGGAGGATGCTGCCAGCTATGTGAATTACTGAGTCATGTTATGAGGATTCTAATAAATTACACTGTCCTTCACATGCCCAATCCAAAAATTCGCCTCCTGGACCCGAAGGACGATCAAATTAAAGTTGGTAAAGTTTTTCAAAGTCAAGACAGCTGTATCATATAAAATAACAGGGAACATGTGTGAGTTTTTTTTAAATCTTTGTGTTGATCGGTCCAAAAGGACTTTGAAGATTGCACAATATTCATCCTTTACTAGCCTATAGCCATCACCCATCAGAAGATAGTAAATGCAGCAATGCCACTGCATGTGGTTCAGCAGCTGAAGCGTATTTCACAGTCATAACTAAGCTTTTTCCATTCACGATTTTTAATTCTCTCTCCACCTTGATCTATACTCCTGACTTCATAAGAAGAAAAAAAAAATCGATTTGCTCATTAGATACTAAATATCTTGTTCAGCTTTTTCTGATAATGACCAAAGCCCAGGGAGATGGTTTGTCTGTGCTTTCAAACTGGTATGTTAGATCTGCTAAACACTCAATAAGACACAGATCGCTCACTGTGATGTTGGTTATATTTTCCTTTGAAAAAAATAATAATTTTAAAAGAACTCGTTATATTTTCTTTTTTCTGTGTTGTATCCCATTAAAGGTAACCAGACTCAAAGCTTAAAGGGATTCTCCTGCCCTCTATCTGCAGCTGCGTGAGTAGCATGCATGTGATGTAGCTGAAAGGCATTAGCAATTAGTAATTTCTGTTCTCATAGTAAATGCTTGAAATGTCTCAGCAGAATCATCACACCAATTACTAGCAGGTGCCTTTGCCTAAAAAGCAAAATGATGTATCGTTAATCAACACTAGTCTTTTAATCTACTCTGTTCAGAATCATGTACTGCATCTGTGTTCATTTTCATCTCCATTATATTCCAAGTCCTTTGCATTCTCTGCTTGCTAAAATCCATTTACAAGCTTCTTTGACAAGGAAATTATTTCTTGCTACAATCCCGAACACAAACAATGAACCTGGTTCAATCTATTGGATGAAACCGTTGACAAATTGTACCTGCCAGGCAGAGAGATAGCAATAAAAGGGATATATTTTTCCTTCTCTCAAGGCACAAAGTCAGTTAATTATGCTGTTCTTAAGATAAAATGTGTGTTTGATAACTTTTAGGTACACAGGTAAAGACTAAAGGAAAACATGTCCACTTCTGAATTAAACGATTTCTGGACTGTTTTCTGTCTTTTGGCAATCTCCCTGTAAATGATCTCCTTAAGGTCCCCACACACCTTACGATTATCGTACGATAATTCCTGCTGCACCTGCACGAAGGGCACGGAAGAGGGCAGCTACTGACGTAGCAATTGATAGATTCCTAAATAAGGCTTCGGCCATACGAAAAATAACGCCGCATTGTAGCGCGGTCGCCCTCTTGTCGTACGATTTTAAAAGGGTCGTACGAAAATAATCATGCGATAATCGTAAGGTGTGTGCCCAGCCTTACAATACACTAATAGCCCAAAACACACTATTGTAAAGGGATGTTCATAGTGGGAATTTAGATCATAGAACACAGTACTCTCATATTATAACTGAGCTCCCTGAATGTGGATTATAAATGCCAATATGACCAAATCTTGCTAACATGGTTACCAAGTAATAATTTCCATAAATTCAGTCAACCTCAGAAACTATAGAAAGTGAAGATCATCCGCACTCGCACAATGACGTAAATCTGAGTGTGTACTTATTGAAAGTTTTCACATGTATCAGCTAACATTTCGGGGCCACGCAGGGTCCCTTCCTCAGAGCAACATAGTGACACTATGTGGCCCTGAAGAAGGAACCCTGTGTGGCCCTGAAATGTTGGCTAATTGATACATGTGACGATTTTAAACAAATACACACTCAGATTCACTTCATTCTGCGAGTGCTGGTGATCTTCACTTTCTACATGCTTGACGTGCACGGTGCCATCTGTGGCTATCACTGCAAGCTCCACTACTGCTAATGGTCTTAAAGGGTTTCTAAACCCTCCATTTTTTTTGCCTACATCTACTGCTAGCAAGCAGTAGATATATGCAAAAAGGTTTTTTTTTTAAAGCCCTTTAAAAGCGGTTTAAACTTATCCCGTTTTCGCCGCGCGTTCCCGCCCGAGAATCCGAAAATGCCGCAAAGCATCCTGGGGCGGGCGGATGCGCAGTTTGGATTTTCAGCTAGGAGACAAGGAGAGACGCAAGTCTATGGATGCGTGCACCCACATGCAGACACCACTGGATCGGAAGTGCCAGCAAGGACAGAGGAGTCAGCGCTGGATCGGAGAGCCACCGCACCGCTGGAGGGACAGGTGAAGACATCCGGAAAGAAGAGGAAGATCAGATTAAGAGACATCATTTAAGGTAAGTGCTAACATTAACATTGGGGGGATGGAAATTTTTTTTTGACTTTAATGTCACTTTAACCACTATAAGGAGTGCAGGGAGTATACAGCTGAAACTGGGCTATTCTTGCTGCTAAATGGCAGTATCTGACAAAGATTATGATCAGTGAACTATATATGCAAGTAAGGCTGTGCCGATGGGTAGGCACAACAGGTGGCAAAGGATGAAGTTACCATAGTCACCATATCAAATACTATAGCACTCTGCAGCCAGTCCTATAGTCTCAATGTCCAATCTCTGTAGTTCAATATTACATATGATTCACATTTTTAGATTGTATTTACATTGCTTGTCTTGTTCTGGTTGTCATGTGTAGCATGTTTTGGGCACTCAGTCTACTGGTCTGCTGCCTTGCTATTCATATTTTCTTTTATCACTTCCCATCATTCCCCCGTTGTTCATCCACAACTCAATAGATACGCTGTTTGTAGAATGTAGTTTGTTTGATGCCTGGTCTGTGGCAAATGCACTATCTTGGAGGCAGCAATTACAAATTCTCAATTAAGTTTGGTGCCTGTGTGGGCTGCTGGAGAGGTTGGATGAGTATAATGCTGGGCACACACCTTACAACCATCGCAAGACTTTTGTCTTGCGATGGTTGCAAGGTAATTAAAAAAACGTACGATCTGCCTATCTTGGACAGGCAGATCATACTTGCGATGATTGCAAGCCCGCCCCGCTGAGGGGCGGGCTTCCGATGACCGCAATGCTAAACGGGCAGTGTGCGTTTGCGCACACCGGCCTGTGCGGCTTTTATCTTGCCACAAACCAGCTGAAAATCGTACGATGTTTGGCTGGTTTTCCTACGTGTTCCTAAGATAAAAGTTGTGCGACCTTACAGTAGCAGAGGTCGCACGCCTTCCACACACCTTGCGATAATCGTACGATCGCGGGATTTCCTGCGATTATCGTACGATTATCGCAAGGTGTGTGGGCACCTTTAGGCTAGGTTCACACCTAGGCGATTGAGCTGGTGAGCTGTTTTCGTGCGGTTGTCACCTGTTTTGTTTGCTTTGAAAACCGCGGAGTTGACAACCGCCCGAAAATAGCTCCTGCACCTTTTTGTGCGACAGGTGATTTCTACCACGCGACAAATCACAAAGGTGTGAACAGCTTCTATAGACTTGAATGCAAATCTCTGTTTTGTGCGATATTGCGTGGCTAAATCCGTGTTATAAATCATCTAGATGTGAACCTAGCCTTAGGGCTCACTCACGTTAGAATGCATGTGTTATCACTTGTTGGATCAATTGACACATGTTGCTTTTTGAAAGGCTCTGGATTGACTTGAATAGTAACATATAAGATCCAGGACTTGCTTACAATGCATAGAAATGCAAAGCAGTGGTGTAAAGCACCTGCCGAAAAGCCAATATGTTTTTGTATACCCATGCATTTTACTTGGGCTTTGAAAATGCAGACATCTGATGTGCATGAGCACTAAGGCTGATCATAGATAGGTAAAGGAGAAATGTCACAAGCACACCAGATTCCTGCAAGGATAATCAATCGTGGATTTATTGAAAACTCATGTGAAATACACAAGCGCTTTTCGGGACCACACAGGGTCCCTTCATCAAGCAACGTGCGGCGCAGTCATTCCAAGCATTCCAAGCGAATTGTGGCCGTCAGCGACTAGTCAATGTTAGGGCAAAATGGAGAGTGGCAAGACTTGTACAAGACAACAAAAGGGCAACAGTGCATCAAATTACTGCAGATCTTAATCAGGGATCCTCTCAAATGATCTCTGAACGCACTGTTCACCGTACACTGCATTGTATGAGATATGAAAGCCGAAGGCCTGTTCGAACACCTTTGCTGCCTGCAGTTAACAAGATAAAACGTCTCCAATTTGCACAGGAACACAGGGATTGGACAGTCGAGCATTGGAAAAAAGTCATGTGGTCCGATGAATCACGTTTCCAGTTGCATCAGGCAGATGGCAGAGTGAGAATTTGGCGGGAACAGCATGAAAGCATGCACCCCACATGCATGAGTACAACCCTTCAAGCTGGTGGGGGCAGTGTTATGGTTTGGGGCATGTTTTCCTGGCATGATTTGGGCCCTTTAATTCGCGTGGAACAACATCTGAATAGCACGACATGCCAAAGGATCATTGCTGATCAAGTTTATCCTATCGTGTTGATGGTGTATCCCAA